CATGATCCGAGCATGATCCGACCACACACGAGACCGTCTCGCAACCGTCGCACCGCAGAGGTAGATCATCGACGTTCGGGGACGCACTTTGTATGGAAAAACATAGGCTTTCGTGCATCTGCTATCTCTCAAAAACGCATTTCGTGCGAGACTTCCTTCAAAACTCCATCGGCAACTCCTCCACCAGCACCACTTGCAATCCCATTTACAATGCGGGGACGATCCTACAGTTGCAAATCACAATGGAATTCTGTCGACCGCACATGCACGAAAAACACTTGAAACCCCATTTACAATGCGGAACCGATCCGAGACCGATCCGCCCATGATCCGACCACACACGAGACCGTCTCGCAACCGTCGCACCGCAGAGGTAGATCATCGACGCTTTGTATGGAAAAACATAGGGTTTCGTGCATCTGCTATCTCTCAAAAACGCATTTCGTGCGAGACTTCCTTCAAAACTCCATCGGCAACTCCTCCACCAGCACCACTTGCAATCCCATTTAAAGTGAGGGAACGATCCTAGAGTTGCAAATCACAATGGAATTCCATCGGCAACTCATCCACCAGCACCACTTGCAATCCCATTTACATTGCGGGAACGATCCTACAGTTGCAAATCACAATGGAACAATCCTGACTAACTCTTTCTTTGACTAACTCTTTCCCTCACTAACTCTTTCTTTGACTGACTCTTTCCCTCACTAACTCTTTCTTTGACTAACTCTTTCCCTCACTGACTCTTTCTTTGACTAACTCTTTCCCTGACTAACTCTTTCTTTGACTAACTCTTTCCCTCACTGACTCTTTCTTTGACTAACTCTTTCCCTGACTAACTCTTTCTTTGACTAACTCTTTATGTGACTAACTGTTTCTTTGACTAACTCTTTCCCTCACTAACTCTTTAACTCTTTCCCTGACTAACTGTTTCTTTGCTAACTCTTTCTTTGACTAACTCTTTCCCTGACTAACTGTTTCTTTGCTAACTCTTTAACTCTTTCCCTGACTAACTGTTTCTTTGCTAACTCTTTCTTTGACTAACTCTTTCCCTCACTAACGCTTTCTTTGACTAACTCTTTCCCTGACTAACTGTTTCTTTGACGAACTCTTTCCCTGACGAACTCTTTCTTTGCGAACTCTTTCTGTGACTAACTCTTTCCCTCACTAACTCTTTCTTTGACTAACTCTTTCCCTGACTAACTGTTTCTTTGCTAACTCTTTCTTTGACTAACTCTTTCTTTGACTAACTCTTTCCCTCACTAACTCTTTCTTTGACTAACTCTTTCCCTGACTAACTGTTTCTTTGACTACCTCTTTCTTTGACGAACTCTTTCCCTGACGAACTCTTTCTTTGCGAACTCTTTCTGTGACTAACTCTTTCCCTCACTAACTCTTTCTTTGACTAACTCTTTCCCTGACTAACTGTTTCTTTGCTAACTCTTTTTTTGACAAATTCTTTCCCTCACTAACCCTTTCTTTGACTAACTCTTTCCCTGACTAACTGTTTCTTTGACTAACTCTTTCTTTGACTAACTCTTTCCCTGACGAACTCTTTCTTTGCTAACTCTTTCTGTGACTAACTCTTTCCCTCACTAACTCTTTCTTTGCTAACTCTTTCTTTGACTAACTCTTTCCCTGACATTCTAAAAGTCCGTAACACGGAAGTTTCTCCCCCTAAACTTCCTTTGATTATATATATACACATTATGTACATATAAATTATAAACATTATGTATATACATGTATCATGTATATATAATATATATATAATGTATATATATATAATGTATATATATATAATGTATATATATAATGTATATATATATAATGTATATATATATATATAATGTATATATATATATATATAATGTATATATATAATGTAAATATATATACATATTATGTGTGTATATATATAATGTAAATATATATATATATACATATTATGTATATGATATACACTCATGCGTAATACGTATGTTGTAGAATATTGTAGATATGTATATAATATCAACGGCAAATAATAGCAAATAGCTACTGATAGGAATCCGTCTCTGCCCAGGTTCAAAGGACTACTATTTGCAAGGCATAAATATGATGAGTGGGCTGGCACAGAGATCAATTAGAAGCCAGGATTGAACACTAGCTGCAGAGCCAACCCTAGTTTGCATGATGGGTGCACAAAGCCAGCCTGCAATGCCCGCAGCACAATGCAACATACAGGTTCTTGTCTGAGGTCCAAACCATCAGCTTCAGCTGCCTCTGGATCTACAGTTTCCTCATTCTCTTCGGTCACAACATGCACTTTGGCCAACACCATCGCTAGAGCAGAGTTGAGCTGACCCACGGAGAAACCGAAGTGATGGGACAATTCTTATGCAGGTGAGTTCAGGTATGTTCAGGTATTAGCCATTAGCTTTGCAACATTTCGAACCAAACCGCAACACATATGAGAAAAACAAGTGCTACTAGAAAGTAAGCATAGATGTTGGTGAGTTTCTACTGTGCGGGAGCCAGTGCGGCAACAGCGAGGCTTACCACTTTGCGAACGAGACAATGACATATAATGGCACTGCTTTGATTTGAAAAAGAACCCAAACGCCAAAATGCCATTTCACCTCATGCTCCATGCTCCACACTAGATCGGACAGGTTCCTTTTCTTCAAACAATGCTGCGATCCTTTTCGCACTAAGCGCTGCCACTCCATTTCTTCTAAGATTTCTAAGGTGCTTTCTGTAGACTTTGTACAAAACGCCTGATCTCGTCATCTTTCAAATCTGCCACTATGCGCTTGGCCGATTCTGAGGCCTGTCAATGCTGAGAACTTTTTGGCGCAGGTCCGTGTTCCGTTTCTCATTCAGTCGCTGTGTGCGGTATTTTGATTATGCATAAACCTCTGACGGGATGAACTCAACAAAATCATACACAACAAAATCATACGCTATAAATCTCTATCATACTCTTTGTCCATGCAAGCAATTGTGACACTGCAGGAATTCCATGGTTTGCACAATGCTTCAGCCCCACCTGCGGTATTGGCACCCCGATTGCGTCCTCAAGGACTTCAAGCACACCAGGCTACACTTAGAAACGTCATGAAACGTCCCCATCCTCCATCTGACAAATCACCAGGGCTTAGTCAAGCTAACGGGGTGATGGCGATCAAACAAGCTCACTGAGACGGCATTAACATTTCGACAGCCTTCTACATCACAGCCTCTGCAAGAGCTATAGGCGTGTTGCTGTGCACCATGTATTCTGTCCTGCAAACGAGTGGTATCAAGCTCTGCCGCAGCCTTATTTCCAGCTCCTGCTCCTGGGCGCAAAGACTTGAACTGAGACGATGGTGCTTTGTGTCACTTTATTCATCTTATATTCATCTTCATTGTGTCAGAGGATCAGTGTGTGACGTCACTGCTCCTGTTGGGATCTGTTGGGTGTTTCCTTTCATCTGAGAGTCTTCAGTTCTTGTCAAAGAGTTTTGCGTGCCCTGACCCACATCCTAGAAAGCGGCAAGCAGATTCTATCTTGGTACAAGTACACTATTAACCCGCAAGGATCATTTGTTTTGATTGAATTGTCTAAATCTGCCAACTTGAGATTTTCATCAAACCCTGTCCGCGAATCGTCGGAGGAGTCCACTCGGCGCATGAAGATATCCTCTCTGCCAGCAGCGAAACCTACAACTCTGTGCTCTGTGATGCTCTGTGGACATTGCCAAACTGCATCGAACTTCCAGAAAGAGAAGGCAAACTGCACAAGTACGCAAATAGACTTGACAGTTTCATGTAAATGAGCATAAGGCACCAGCTATCTGTGCATAGGATAGTGTCCCTGGATTGACAAAGTTGAAAACACCAGCAGCCCTTCGCTTTGCCAGGACTGGTAAAAGGGGTATCAAATCATCCAGGACTGTAACTGATGTCTCCACGCTGTCCACCTGCTGAAACCTTGCCTGAGACAGGGTGATTACGCGACAACATGAATGGAATGCAAATACGAGCAACCAGCAAAAAGTATTATGGCCAATGCCCCAAGCCATTCCAAGATTTTCCAAGTTGCTAGCTTGCCCAAAAGGCCTCGTGCATCTAGGTCTGAGCTGAGTGGATAGAGCACTCTGATGACCAGCGCGTTTTCAAAGAAATTGGTCAACTCCTCCATCTTCTGCCTGAGAGCAGTATAAACTCCGGGTGAGCCACCGTTCGGAGGATCACTTTCTGAAAATTTTCTCTTCTTTTCCGATGTGACATACAGGGCTCCAGTTCCCACCAGTATCACGTGAAGTCCGCGTTCATGGCACGCAGCCGCCACGGACAGCTGTCCAGTGATATTTGCATCGACTGTTTCAACAGGATGGGAATCACACCACGCAATGTTTGGTCTCCCACGCTCACCAGCAGCACATATAACTCCAAGCTTTGGCTTTATTTCATCCAGAAGCGCTTCCAACCCCAACCTATCTTTCAGCCGAAGTCTTGTTGGATAAACCGAAAAACTGGAGGACTGCAAATAACGGAGAATTGCAGCACCTAAAAATCCACTCGGACCCATCAGGATGAAATCAATATCCTCTGTGCCATGTGTACAGCTCGGCACATTGTCATCCATGGCTCAATGTGACAAAGATCGCCTTTTTGCGCCCTATACACCGTTGTTATCAATTTTTGCTGTCCTTCACGTCGAGATATGTCGAGATACAGCACATTCCCACCAGATCTTTGTTTCAATGCATCATCACCCAAGGCTGAATCACAACCCCACACAATTCTAATAATTCTATGCGGGCAGAAAACATCAGAAAATCATCGTTTTGCAGCTGCTATGGCCAAGGCTCATTAGCAAAAAATGCTGCATTGTGACCCTGAGCTGTGTGCAAGCGCATTCTTTCAAACACACACACACACAAAAAAAAAGAAAACAGCACGCGTCACAACAGACCAGTTCTATCTTAATGAAATACATGAACAATGAAGATAGTGAAGCCGAAACGCGCAGCTTTTCTGAAGGCTTTTCCATGGAGCAAGCGAGTTTTCGCGGCTCCGCGTCTCAGCGTCTAAGGGCTTGGGCTCCGCCCTTTGCCTCTTCGTGGAGCACCTCCTCTAGTGCGTCCTTTCCCACCTCAGAGGCTTGAGAAACTCCCCCGATCTATTTCCAACTGATTCTGCAAGTCCATCCTTCTTTTGTATTCTTTTGTACTTTTGTACTGTAGGAACATAGCGGAACACATAGCTGTAACAAGTTGGAACATTCCAAAGAAAACACGTCTCCAAATGCTACACAGAGGAAGGGGGAGCTATTCAAGGGCTGCACCTCCCGGCGGTGCGGCACCTGCAAGACGAAATAAAATGAGATGTAGACACATAAGGACAATTCAGAAGACACATCTGACTAATCTTTTCGCAAAACTTGACTCGACTCATCGACTCTTTCATTCAAATCATTCAATCTCCCTTGCCTGCAAGTCGCAGAAGGTCTCCGCTGATCTCCTTTGCATTTAGGATCATTCAAGCACATTGAAAGAATCTAAGGATATCCGAACATATTTAAGCATATTTAATAAGCATATAATTACACAATTAAAAGATTATTTTAGCATACTTAAATAATCTAAACTTAAATATATTCAAGCATCAGATAGCATCAGCATGTTTTTGGACATGGAAGCTCGGAGCCCAAGAAAAAGCGTAAAATTCAGAATTCGACAACTGCTCCGTTGCACGGACAAACTCTATGGCTCCGTGGTCCTGGTTGGTCCGCTCCATGACTTCAATGATTCCCCTGGCTTTGGCTGCGTCTTGCCCTGGCAGATCTGGCAGCTCCAGCGACTGAACCTCAACATGCTCGAGCCATGAAGCGCCTGTCATGAAGGTGATGGCGAATCCCTTCCTCAGCGTCAGCGATGTCAGCGTCACCCCAAATCTGGTCACAGACTCTTCGATTCTCCGCTCCACATTTTCTCATATGCTGAATCTTTCGGAGCACGTTTCAAAGTTAATGTCTTGTTACGGGACTCAGTCTCTCACGCCCCAGCACGGCCAGTGCGACCAATACGGTGGACGTAATCCTGTAGTCTTGTATGGGATGAATTCGGAACACGTCCGCACACAGCCTGAACTAAACAAGAACCATTTCATGACATCTACTGACGTCTCATGACGATGTTCAATGCGTGCCTCTGTGTTGTTGGCTGGATCAAAGTTTATGACCAGGCCCTGAGCAACATCCATGACGCTTGAGTGCTGGATTTCAATGTGTTGAGTGCTGAGCCGCAAGCGACACCCTTGATGTCTAATCCACGTGCAGCCACATCAGTAGCAATGAGAACCTCCATCTTGGAAACACGGGCGCTAATTAAATCCACCCATACACCCACACACACCCACACATCATCGAATCCTTGAACAATTGCATGATTTTGTGACCTGCTCCAAATGGTTGTCAAACCCCTCTACATGCTGAAATCTACATGTCACTAAGTACGGAGCTGAATGCATTGTGGCACGATTGTATACTGTATAATCAAAGATGATCAAAGGAAGTTTGGGTAGGAAACCTCCAATGTGTCCCACTTAGCGAGCTTTGCGTAATATACATACTTGAGGCCAGGGGGAAGGTAAAAAGGCTAGCAGGGCTGGGGTAGGGTGGTAATCATAAAGGGGGATTAGCAAGGTGAAGTCGGAATGCGGCAACGGTCTTACATGGTTTTTTGGAGTTGCTGCAAGTCACAAACAGCGCCAATCTTTTAATGTTGATGAGGTTGCTGACCAGAACGATGAAGGAAACTGATGATGACCAAAGTGATGGTAACAGGAATGAGTTGATGACGACGATAATGAGGACGAAGAGGATGATGAGGAAGATGAAGATGATGGGGGTGATGAGGATGATGAGGATGATGAGGATGCTGAGGATGAGAATGAAGATGAAAATGAGGATGGTGAGTATGATGAGCAGGGCTGTGGTGAGTATGATGAGCAGGGCTGTTGTGGGGTTGCAAAATCTATCGAGTCCAGCAAGCGAAAAGCCCCCAATGCAGTAATGGTCTCGCGCCAAGTGTTGTAAGCAAAAGAAACACAACAAAAACATGCCCCCCAAATGGAAGCCCGAATCTGCATAAAGATGTTCGAGACAATGCAACATGTGTATGAAAATGATAAGGATGATGATGAGGATGATGATGATGTTGTTGACGACGACGACTACGACGACGACGATGATGATGTTGTTGTTGACGACAATGATGATGATGATGATGATGATGATGATGATGATGATGATGATGATGATGATGTTGACGACGACGACGATGATGATGATGATGTTGATGTTGATGTTGTTGTTGTTGTTGCTGCTGCTGTTGTTGTTGGTGGTTGTTGTTGGTGGTTGTTGTTGGTGGTTGTTGTTGTTGTTGTTGTTGTTGTTGTTGACGACGACGACGACGATGATGCGGATGATGGGGATGATGATGAGGATGATGAGGATGAGGATGAGGATGAGGAGGGTGAGGATGAAGATGAAAATGAGGATGATGACCCTCTACTAGCCGGAAATCTCCTCTCGGGGGGGCTCGGGGGGGGACCAGGGGGGGGATCGTGGGAACCTGGCCTGGCGGGGGGGGGGGTCTAACTGGAAAGTTTCAGGGTTTCCAATGGTCCTGCTCCCTGCCTATTCCTTGCTAAAGCAAGAGCAACTTCAGCTAGCTCGTTTGGGTTCCATGCGATTCCTACTTTTAAGGCTTCAAATTAAAGGTGGGTAAGATTGATGATCTGAGAGTACTTGATGGATGCTTTTTTCTTGCTATCTTTTGTGGCGTGGTACTGGTAGCAAGGACACAGGCAGCATACACAAGGAAATGGAAGATTTGAAACCAGAAGGCAACAGCTGAATTGCATACAGTTGTGATTGGCGACACTTTTTAAATGGCACGGTTGCTAGTGCTTGCCGGTAGCACCCGAACGTAGCGCGGCGGAAGTTTTGAAAAAGGAAACTGTTATAACTAACAAAAGACGTACCTACTGGATGTGGTGCCTCTTTCTTCATTTCAAAATTGCAGCATATTGTAGCAGCAACGTCTTTCAGATTTGTGTCAAATACAAAGCTAAACAAACGTTCCCTTTTGACAGCAATGTCATGACGCGCAGCTACAAATCCCTTCTGGTTTTCAACTGTTCTGTTTCTAGCCAAATGCATCGTTATATTCTATTTCGATCTATTTCGTGCTCCTCCTGTGCCCATGCTTTTAGTAACTAGCATCAAGATTTCTACGTGGGAAAAAGAAACTCCCGTTTTGCTCCAAAGCACTGACCTTGAATCGTCCACTTTTCAGACCATTGAGAGCCTCTTCACGCTGCCTCTGGTCCTTCCGGGCTGATGCCAAAACATGCCGAAACTACCACTAGCATTCACTAGAACACTTAATCATACTTGATCCATCTATATCCATCTTGATCCACTTCATGAATGTTCATGAATGCTCATGAATGTTCATGATGCCAATGAGTCCAATGAGGCTCTTCCAAGTTGTCCTTGTCACCATGAATGGATGTGCAAGGAAGACCTGAACAGCGCAAACTTGGTCGGAAGCGAATCTTGCTGCGGCGTCCAATTGCTTCCACTTGTTTCTACTAGCGCCATAGATTCTTCTTCACTTCCATTCACTTCCTCAATCTTCTTTCCTTTGGTGTTCAATTGCAAAGAGAGGGACAAGTTTGCAGCACACTGCCTTGGCGATACAGCTCGTTCGAAAGGCTCTCGCACATTCTTTTGGTGTTGCAGAAAACGAGAGCCTTGCGGCCATAGTCAGCCATGTATGAAAAGGGATGGTTGAACCATGCAAAACCGAGGTTTGAAATCATCTGGAAATGCAGAATGTATGCTTCCGATCTGCCTTGCCGCTAGCAGTTTGGCTTGTAAGCCCAGCCTCACAGTGTGACATGACAATGTTGCACTTGTTTCAACCCTGACCCAACAGCCAGCAACTTGGGCAGACAAACTTTAAACAAACATGTTCGCATCATGATTTGATGATGTTTGATGTCACCTGCCTCCCGGAGGGTAGACACAATTTCTCTGTTTTTGTTGAAGGCATCCATGACCTTCACAATCTGTGTGATGTCCTGAGCAAGGAGCAATAAAGTGGAAACTCTTAATCATCAGCTGCAGCCATTGCTTAGATGTCCTGGTTGCCTTTCAAGACCTCTCGATTTCCAATCATGACTTTGTAGGGCCTTTCACGTTGAATCCGACACTTTCTGGAGCACTCTACCAACTTCACTGGTTTCCATTTTGCTATACCGGGAGCGCCTGTTGAGAATCTCATTCGCAAGCTTCCTCACCTAATCGAGTCCCATTGAGGTCAGGCTTAAAACAGTGTGCAAGGATCTGGACGAACATAAAAGGGCACATTGCATGGCATTGTCTGTGGCGCCACGCCTCCTTTGGCCACGTTGCTGTGAAAAAGAGAGTGTGGCGCTTCCGCGGAAGCTGGCCGCTGTGGTCAAATGTGGTCAGCTCATGCCAACTCTGCTCATGTCACAGGGTGGCATGTTCAAATTTCGCATAAAAAAATAAGAAAGCATACAAGGGCTCAAATATGATCAAATGATATCAAATGATATCCTTGAATTCCAATCATTGTGCATGATCGTGAAATGTTCGCCACACTGACCCACACCTTGGCAAGGATCTTGCGGATTTGTGGTTCAAAACCCATATCAAGCATACGATCTGCCTGCAATCTGCACTGGTGTCTTTGGAGTGAAACTGCTTGTTCCAGGTTCCATACTGACAATTGCAACACGAGGAGAAATTGCTTTGCTGGCTTTGCTTGTTTGACATTTGACAGTGTTCCAAACCAGCAGCTTGGCATCAAAAGCGAACCTCGTCTAAAACCAGCTTCAGAACTCCATCCAAACGAACCTGTTAAAGCTATGGAGTGGAAGGTTGGGTTGTGTGCAGGCAGGTGCAGGGTTTGAAAGCTCATGAAAGCTCTGCTTTTGAGCGTTTGGCACCAGTTCAAGCCCAAGACTTGCCCATTTTCGAGAAAGTCGTTCAAACGACCAGGACATGCCACGACGGTACTCGGCGGCCAGGCTGATTGGCGCAGAAGGGCATTCAACATCATTCAACTGCTGTGAAACCCTGTGAAACCATGTGAAACCTCTCAATCTGAGGCAGCTGCTGACAACCCTGTCGGTATCTAGCCATTTGATCGCCCTTGGGAGCTCCGCCATACCTTATTCCAGTGCAGTGCATCCCAGATTTTTTTCTATTTGATTCTATTTGCACCCTTGAGACTAGATCACATGATAGTCTATCGTCAGCATGTCAGTGCAGGGTCCGCTTCATCCGGGCTACAAATACACTTGAAGCCTTGGAAAGTACGCAGTCCTTCGGGCTGTACACGTTTTGAGTGGAGATAGCTGTCTGAGAGATTTTGTCAATACGACTGCATGAGACTGTTCCCTGTAGATCTGGGCAAAGTCAACATTGTTTCCAAAATCTGATCCAATTTTGGCCAGCTCATCTGTAGGTCAAAATGCTGTCAAATAGAAAATAATAGAAAGCTGATGTGCGGATGCCTCTGTATTGCCGGTGAGTGCTAAAACGGCCTTTGTTTGTGAAAGCTACAATGTGATTTGTGTGTGTTCATGCTTATGGCATCAAAGTGGAACTTACAAGTGGGAATCACATTATACAACCATGCTTAGTTGTCAATGTCTTACACAAATGTAGCGGGTTGAAGATGTTACCATCGCATACCTTTGCGTACTTCACATGGGTGACTTGCTGCTTTCAGGGAGCGCATTCACCAGTATTCACCAAACAAAAAACCCTCTTACATAGGGCTGCTCTTTGTATGGCATCGTAAGATTTTGGCACCGGTATGGCTGTGCGGCTGTGCAGGGATGACTAAACAGTCTGAGGACGAGGTTTTTTCTTTGCGTCAGGGAGGTGTGCCAGCAATGTAAGTTTAAGGATTAAAGCTGCTTGCTTTGATGCAATCGAGAACGTATAATCTGCAAAACCATGACCAACTGCAGTTCCCAGTCCTGTGCACTATTCACAATCTGCATTAAGCGAAGTTGGCTAAGAGATGGGAAGAGGGAAGAGATGGGAAGAGTATCCAAGTGTGAGCTTCCTTTACCTTCATGATCTTCATGATTGTGGCACAAGTGCAGTGTTCTTGGAAACTGCCGAATCTGCTGATCACGTGGAGCTGCTGAGGCAATCCATGGCGAGGCCCCGGCATGGCGACGCATCGGAAGCCAAGGCACTTCCCAAAGCGCTGGGCCTGGCACAAAAGATGGCCATGCCAACGTCTAGCTGTGGTGCAATTTCGGTGCGCAAAAGAGATAAAAAAATTGCGTAATTTCCTTGCCTCAGCCTCGGTTTGCTGTGCAAGTTCCCGCCTAAAATTCGCAAAACAAATCACAAGTTTTGTGCTGACAGCTTGGAATCTTTTCTGTACCTCTGCATTGATGCAACGTGCAACTTGCAACTTCCTCACTGAGGAAGTTCTCTGGGTCCAACGTACGATTGTGCAATTTTTTCCACTTCTCCGAAATCAGTCTTACAAAATCTTACCAAGTACATTCTAGATCTGTTCTTTGGAGTTGTTGAGCCAACATTGTGTCCGACTTAGTGACTTATTGCCTGGAGACACCTTCTTCACCAATATAGCAGCACAGCAAAGGAAGAACACGAAGCATAGCAATCTGACTGCATCTGCGATCTCGGTCGCAAACGTAGGGGACATTACCAGCGCACCAGGCCCATCTCGTTCGGGTCTGTGGTTCTGCGCCAACGATTCAACGAAGTCGACAAATGCTCACACAGCTATACACAGCTACAGTATTTGAGTATATTTGAGGTTGTCATGAAGTTGGTTCATGTTGGCAGCCAAAAAAGCTAATGGTGTGTCATTGCACAAGTTCAGTCTCTCTGCATGCTGCTAGAATATGTTCTGGTGATTTGAATTGGGGATAATGGCGCTGCCTCCTCTACCATCTGGGCAAACGCAGGGAGCAAAAACGCCTTAGTATCTGACGGGTTCAAGGTGCAAGGGGCGAAAAAGGCACTGACTAGAATGTGACATGAAAGCACAAACAGAATGCATCAACATGTTCATTTACGCCTTCCCTGTGTAGAGCAGCAACAATATCTGGTGTCTATTCTGGTCTCTTCAGAAGCGATTGTGAGAGTACAATACAAGCAAGTTGCCCACTATCTGCAGGATAGCCCTGCTTTGACTTGTTGCATAAGACTCAAATATGATGACATGTAAAAACTATGGCTATGCCGCTATGCACTCCAGCTCCTGCAATTGCATGTTGTTAGCGTAGGATGGCCCTTTGTTGCTTTTACCATGCTTTTATCCGCAGATATAATTATGCAAGCGACACATCCCAAGTGCAGCTCTGCCAATATCTACAAACCTTTCCCATATATTTCGCGGCTCGGGATCTGTGCAAACTCAAACATCACATTCCAAACATCACATTCCATGTACATTCAAATCCTAAATACCGAAGGATGATCTTTAGATGACTCCAGAGTGACTTCGCTCTCATCTTGCTGGGCCTTCAAACTAGAGTCTTGCCGCTGCCAGTGGCAGCAATACCTCACAATCTTGCACTCACCTGATGATCATCGATGATCTATATAATTAGATACATGAGATATATGCCACATGTCGAGAACTCTCATGATGAGGTCGGTATGTAACGCTTTTCATGGCTTCACCATGCTGACCGAGCCTATGATGTCCTTCCCCCTCAAGCCCAATGGCCAAGTGTAGGCCTGGTCAATACGCTCAGGCCACCCTGAAGGCCCTGAAGCATCTCTAAAAGGCATTAAAAGGCCACGAAGGTGACTCATGGCAGCAGCTGCAACTGGCTGTGAAACAAATGGATGACCAAGGGATGAAAGAGATGAAATAAATGAAAGAGGGGTGGAGATGAAGGAACAAATTAATGCAAACCAGATGACTGGCAAACTCTGCACATCTGGAGATTGGCCATTTGCCACATTGACATGTTTCTGCAGCTTTCAATACGCTGCGACATCCACTCATCTTGAACGTGCCTGGATCTGAGAAGGAGATGGAAATCCAGCTTTCCTCGCTTGACATAAGTTCAACTTTGATCTCCATACTGCAGAAAGAGTAGTGCAGGTTGGAAAAAGGCTAGGCATGTCAAAAAAAGTGAGAAATATAGCAAATAACTCAAATAACCCAGTTGAGCGTCTTCAACTCTTCCCGTATCTCGCGTGGAAAATCACGGGCGTCTTCGAAGCTGGCAAACCTTCAACAACCAATTGATTTTTCTGATTTTCGCATCTTTTCGCTTGCCAGCGGAAAAAGCACACGAGCTCGACAAACTGAGTGGTAGCTTGGGATGCTTGGGCACGAACCGGTCTGCTTGGATGGGTTCCTGTGAAAGCATCAAGTGAAACATTGTGAAACCGGTGTTGGAAGTTGCCTCCTGGAAAACTTGCAACTTGACAGCGCCACAGACTCGGTCCTCGTCTGGATTTAGAACTTGAACTTCGTCATCTTGAGCGGTCTTTCCCGTAGTGAATCCCCTACCAGCCGCCTCACATTGAATACATTGACTGGACTTTGATGGACTCTGTCCAAGCCAGCGAGTTTTATCGCACTTTGATAAGACCTCAATGCTGACGCAATGGCGCCTCACAAGCCTCTGCCAGTGTTAAAGCGCGACCCTCAGGAAGTTGCACGGGTGAACGTGGAGCCTCAAGCAATCTCAATCACAGTCTATGTATGTCTATGTCATTTTGGTCAAATTCTGTCAAAACACACTTTGATTCCTCTTCGAGGTTTGCGCTTCATCCTCTCTGGGGACATCTAGAGTCCAAACGAAATGTACAAATCCTGGACCCCGACTTGGACAGCCCATGCGGGGCTCCTGTCAGATGGACAAATTTCAGCATATCACTTCCAGTGCTGACTACAATATGTCTAGAATATGTCTAGAACACATTCGGCATGAAGATTGAGACATGTTGAAACTTGTGATACGAACCTGCTTCGACTGCGAGCGCACCTGCTGTCCAATGAATTTGTAACAAATGCTTGTTGGTGTCTCGTGCGTACTATGCAACTGCTACGCAATAATTGCAGCGATCAATGTCCAACGAAAACCGAACAGAACAGCAACTAGCAAAACGGAAAGCAATATCCAACCGCAGTATCAACAAGTCTCAGAAGGAATCAGGCTGGCAACACCCTCCATATCTGCCACCGCCACCAGCGCCATTGTTCCTTTTAGGCAAACTTTGTTTCCGATGAAAAGCCGTAAGGGTCCGTAAGGTTTCAAACTCAAGTATGTAAAGTCATGATGCCTCAAACTGAGACACTAAGCAAAAACTATCAGAAACTGGGCCGAACCTTGGAGGCGAGCGATTCTTCGCTCGGCCACGGCCTCATGGCAATCTTTTGCTTGGACTATTATGACTATTGGATCTATTGGTATTGAATATTGGACTCCACAATTCTTTCTCAAGGTGAGCTTTTTCAAGACTGGTTTGGATATCTTTGGATCCATTGAGAGAATAGCTCCGGCTTCTGCTAGGGCTCAGAGAGTCTCGACTATCGTAGCCTGGCTCCGTGGCTTGAACCCCGAAACGCTTTTTGCTTCTGACATCTTCTGACCATTTCTCCGCTGTGTTCGTTGACACTTCATGACAATTAATGGCAATTATGTAATGGTATCGAAATGTATTGAATCACCTCCGAGGCATGTCAAACCACTCCTACACAATCGAGATCATGGATGAATATGGATGATATATCGACATCTAGGTACATCTAATATCATCTCGTGAATCTAGTTTACACGGAACCTGCTCAATCACTGCATATCACTGCCAAATCACACGAAGGAAATAGATTGGAAAGCTATCTCAGAATAGACCAGTCTTGTAGGAGTTTGTAGGGCATCTTCTCAAACCCTTCAAACCATGCAATCATCACTGTAGTCGGAGTAGCTTGGACTTTTCCTTCGTTTTTCCTGAGAAGTGAGGCTCCTCTTGCTCAGCACAACTAGGTTTTTAAAGGTCAAATGCTTCGCACCTTCTTTTTCTTCTTTTCCTTTTTCTTCTTCTTTTTCTTTTCTTTTTTTGCCTTTATGGCCAGCTGGATTGCACACTCTTGTTGCGCATGCAGCGTTTCGCCTGCGACTTTCCGCCCAAGTCCGCCTTTTTGTCTTTCTTCAGTTTTTTGACTTTTTTCTTGTCCTGAGCCGCCAAGAACTACATTGATTCATGGTGATTCATGGAACTTGCTTGATTGGAATATATTGGAATGTTGGAGCTTGCTGCTGACATGTCTGTACAAGCAAGGCAGACATGCCAAAAGCGTCGGATTGCCGACACATGCTGAAGACTTCTCTAAGCTGTCTCTTGCTGTCTCCTTCTTCTTTTTCTTAAGTTTCTCGGACTCTGAGCTTTCTTCGCTCTCCTGCTATTTGCAGTCCAGCAGTAGGGTCACCAGTTCTCAAGCACGGTCAACGTCACCAATCTTTCATCTTGATGACAGCTGCTGTTACAAAAAGCTTCACAACCACTGGCAAGTCAAGGGCGGTCCTCATCCGAGTATTCTGAATCTGATTTAGCCATGGCTAAGTACTGCCCTATGGCCCTTTGTTTTGGTGAAGCCTGATGCATCTGAACTCATAAAAACTGCTTCAATTAGAGCAAGAGGTAAACTCGAGTTAACCGGTAGGTTTTTTCAATACTTGTCTCTTTGACAAACCAACCCTACACCGGCCAAACTGCCGAACTCCGCCGATCTTGCAAAAACTACTTGCTCCTGGGATCTCCTGGGCGCTATTGTATGCTATTGTATTGTCAAATTACGGTATGTTTTTGTCTAGAAAGCCCAAGAACTTGAGCCTCGACATGAAAAGCCAGGGGAGCCCTCGATTCGCAAAGCATCGCAAAGCCAAGTTTCATACTAAGAATTGACCGATTCTTTCCTGGTATGAGGTCTAGGCAACTGACTGCCTCTTGTCCGAAAACAGCCTTTCAAGCCAGTCTGGTGCGGTTCCCCTCGTTCCCACATGCTCAAACGATCGTGTTAGGCTGGATACTTGTTGCATGGTCTTCTTTGGTCCTGCTTAGCAGAACCCTTGCGCGATCCGGTCATAAATGGGCGCTATTGCACATGCTGAACATGATTGGGCTCAGCTCATGCAGAAGCTTTGAGGCTCAGGCCACTTGGGAATTAATGAACAGTCTGTCACATGAATGCAAGCAAAAAGTATCAAAAAGTCAAAAAACATGTCAAACAGATGCATATTTTTTCAACGTTAAAATTTAAAAACAAACAGATCCAACGAAAGCAAACTGGGTGATACATCTTGCACTTCGGATTCAGGCGCGTGGAGCTCGTAATTCTGCGGTGGGGTAAACATGAATAGACTGAAATTGATCAATACCCAGAGACGCCTGTTGAACAGAATGCTTGCGAGGTTGAAATATTTCCCACATGAATCAACATGAATCGAAATTAAATGTACAAATGAAGAGCTGCCACGGTGCTGCGGTCAAATCAGGAGCTGCCTGGCCAGGATTTAAGAATTGGAATCTGTTAAAAAAAAGTCAGGAACAACATGTGACACTCAGCATGGATGAAATGCAAGGGCTGTGTCAGGCCAGCGGTACACATTTTTCATTGGCAGGAATGCCCTTGTTGGTCTTGCGGATGAAGACCTGACGTTTACAAACCCACAAGCTCTCCCTGCTCCATATTCGTCTCTGTAATGATGCTTGTTTTCTGCTGGATGGAGGCTTGCGGATCACTGTGAACTCAAATAATGAATGGTCCGAATTCAATCGTAAAGTCTTCGTTAGGTCCAAAACTGTCTGTCTGCCTGCCTGTCTGTCGGTCCCTCTGTACGTATTGCGGCTATGTGCATATAGTAATAATAATAATAACAATAATAATGATAATAATGATAATAATAATAATTAATAATAATAGTAATTAATAATAATAATTATTATTATTAATAATAATAACTAATAATAAAAATAAATAATAATTAATAATAATTAATAATAATAATAATTACTACTACTACTACTACTACTAGTAATAATAATAATAATAATATATATATACATAGTTGTGTATATATAATTGTGTATATATATATATAATTGTATATATATATATATTATACACGTATATATAGTATTGGATCTAAATTCTTTCATCCGGAAACGGCCATCCTTCGCGAACTATCATTTTACTTTTGCGAAACTGTCGCGAACTACGTGTTTATCTTGCGCGTGACGCATGTAGGACAACGATGCCTCTTATGACGACTCAGTCATTACCTGCTAAATGATCATAGATTACTTCATGTCTTTCTTCTTGCTTCCACACAGAGCGGTTGAAGTAATAGCCTAGTAAACATGCCGCTAGCATAACAGAATCCGTTCTCAGGACAAATGGTTGCTTTTTGGGCAAATAGATGCAAATAGTAGATTATATTTGCAAGGCTTCCTGGGCCAACCCCGTCAAAATGCAATTTCACTTTCGCCTGCTCCGTCAAGTAACTCTCGCGAAAATATCCTTGTAAGGTATATATATACATATATGTATATACATATATGTATATACATATATGTATAATATACATATATGTATATATATATATGTGTACAATGATGATTCTTAATATTAATATCTAATTTTGCGAACCTTTAACAAACAACTTTTTATATACTTTCGCAAACTCGAACAACGCCCTTCGCCATGTTTCAAAAACACAACATGAATGCTCTTCGCAATCAGATTTTTTACAAGGACCGTTAGATCATAAAAATATATAACTATACATATATATATAATTATATATATAATAATATTATATCACATATATTTCATAAATACACATACTATGATATGTAGCCTCTGATTCCTATACTATCTATACGGCAATCATTGCTGGATGAATCCCATTGAATCCCTCATTCCCTCTGCCTTTTGGCAGTTTCTGGGGCCACATCTCCTGGCAAAAGATTGCAAAAGATTGCAGAAGCCAAGTAAATCTCCGATGCAACATATGCAACATATGCAACACTTGAAATCGGAACACGACTAGGAGCATCTCGGTCAAACAGGCAGACCTTGTTGGATTTCTAGTCTTTCAGGCAGAGTTGGCACGAATTGCAACAACACATTGTTTTTTTTGTGAGACCGTCCTGTGGGCGAGTTCTTTCGCATTGGCGGCAAAACGAATGCACACCTGCGTTACTATTGCGCATAAAAGAAGAACTCTCGCTCCATCATCGCAACAAAGACCACCAAGGTCCAAGCCTTGGGGGTCCCGGTGCAGAGCGGCTGCGCTTACTTGACCTCAACCAAGCAGGAATGGTCAGCCGGCTGGGCATCTGAAACCTT